AGTTCAGCTGTGGTGAAACAATGATATTCGAACTGTATAGACCTGTTTATTATATGACTAATGCAAACTTTGAATACCCAAAATAAAGAAGAAGAAATGAAAATTATAACTTCGACCAACCCAATATACATTTTCTTCAATATTATATTTTCTTCAGACATAAAATTGCACTACAAAATTCCCTTAATTCCACAAGCATAGAAGAATGTTACGGAGGGCAGGGCAAAATGCTGCAAAACATTTAAAAAACCCAGAGCTGGTCAGGATAAAAATAAAAAAATGCTAATTTGTGTTATGGCTTAAGAAACTCCATTTTGATATGAAGGGCACGTGTCTCATTAATGAACGAGAGCAGCGTCATCTCCTCAGTTTCACGCTCAGACTGTTTACTGTTTCAACAAGTCCAAACACGCTTTCACAGACACAGCAAAACCACAACAGCCCCACACCGCAAGAGCAGCATTCCTCTTTCATGACCAAAGCATGAGCAAAGATTGAAGGATATTCCGAGTCTTGAATCACTGTCTGACTCTTTTCTATAGTCTTCCCTTCGCAGACACATAGACATTAAGTATGGGCCAGGCTTCCTGTGTGGGTGAAGAGGTCTGACAATGACACCTCGCACGAGTGACACAGAAAACCTGAGAATGTAAACAGCAGGACTTAATGCACATGCCCCACAGACACCACATGCACTTTTCCAGTATCCAATGCAATTCAGTTAGAACAAAAACATGTTAGTAAAGTCAATGTATGGCCACTATTAGATTAACAATAGCAGTCAAATTATTTAGCACTTAAATCATTGTTGAACCAGGTACAGGTTTTATAATTCATTTATAATTATTGCAAATATCTCAGTATGAGTTTCTCTTTAGCTTAATTTTGGTCAACTTTGTCTTTCATGAGATTTTTAATGAATTGAAAGAATAACCCCAGTTCAGTTATTAATTTATTCATTGCCAATTACAGCCATGTATTACTTTACCAAACTATACAGAGCAATGTGTGTGATGTCTGCTGTTGTTGTGTCCTCCAATTTGGGCGTCACACACGAATGACAACACAGAAAAGATTCCCCCTTATCCCCTATTGTGGCATCCAGTCCCACTGTTTCTGGTGCATTTGTCATTTTCTGGTGGTTCCTGATCCCAGGCTGACAGCTGACAGGGCAAGTCTCAGGCTTTTGTGCAAGTGCTTAGCTAAGACAGGACTCATGAGGAGCACAAAAATGGGGAAATCAAAACAGACAGAAAGTTGCCTCAAACACAAGATTAAATCTGTTAAGGAAATCTTGGAACTTGGCTTGGACTGAGCCAATGTTTCACAATTCAAGGAAATCAATTTGCAGGAATCTACACATACACACGTTTGGTTGGACAATCCTTTGCATTTTCTTGTTCCAGACACTTCTGCCTTCAAAGTAGGAGTGGATTTTGAGAAAATATGACCTCATGGTGTCTGAGCTACCATGAAGTATTGCTAAATCCTAAAATCTGCAATAAATGCACAGGATTTTAGCAGAAGTGATGATGTGGGAGAGCCAGGGTGAACACTGCAGCAGCACAACCCATTCCTTATGGAAGTATAAACTAAACTTCACAATCACCTTTTCCTGCAGGCTTTTAGTTACTTTAGATCATGAGGATAAGGATCTCCCCCTTCTCACATGATCAGCCTGTTCAAAAGGATCATTATGCTTTAATTTATGTAACCTGCCTTATATAACAAGTTTCTTTCTCTATCTGACAGAGAGTTCAAACACAGAAGCTTCAAAGAGGTCATTAAAATGTCTTGTGTAGCCTCATACCACTGAGCAATTTAAAAGTAACAGTAGTAGATATTTGTACAATTTGTTTTCGTTATCCAGTGTAATGTTTAAGATGAGAGTTGCCAAAAGTAAATAAAACACATTCACTTCTAGTCCAAACGGGTACAGTTCAGACGCTCAAACATCACTTCTTCCACCACAGCGGTGCACACTCATGAATGTGCTCCTCTGTATGGGCCCAGGCCTGGACACTGGGACTGTGTGCAGCTGCAGAGGAGGAGGAGAGATGGACACAAGTGAAAGAGAAGTGTCCAGTGTTTCTAAGGAAAACTTCTGTCCGACTCATGACTGAGCGGAGGAAGGATGGGCAGGGCATGGGCAGGGCATGGGCTGGTGACTTCCAAATCTAAAAACTGGGTTCTTTGGTAGTTTCCCTCAATCAGACGCTCTCGATGGATATACTAAAAAAGGATTCTTGGAGCTTTATTTTTCTACATTTAAAAGATTTATTAGAGCATAATCTGTAACATATTGTGCATAAATAAAATACTTTTAAGTGATAGCCCGAGTGTAGGACAAATGTCAAAGGCAACTCGAGACAGAAAAGCCTGAGAACTACTGGTTTGATGGACAACGTTTTAAGTTGCCTGTTGAATCATTTCTGTTGTGGGTTGAACGACAAGGGAATCAATTTAAGTTGTTTTATTTCCAATCAAAATCACATTTATGATTTGAAGATGGGAAAGCCGTGGCAGATCCTCTTCAGGTCAATTATAATGACTGGGTGTGTCTGTGTGTGTGTGTGACTGTCTCGGAACCAATAAATGTGGTATGATAGTTTCTAATTCTCTATTGTCTGATGGTTTATGGATCGAAGGCTTAGATCTAATCAGCCAGGTATGTTGCTTGGACAAGATTGAAAAAGTGTATCTGGGTCAGACACTTAAAAACTTTGTTCATTTCACCAACTTAAAAGCGCAAAGTAAAAGTAGCATCAGTCAAACGTCTAACAATAAAAACACCTGTCATTTAAAAAAAAAATATATATATATATATATATATATATTTATAACAGCCTTATTACTACTTCAAATCATAATGCTCACTGTCTGAAGTTTCCTTTTTTTTTATATGTATTTCTTATGTTTTTATTCCTTGTGCTGCTCAAATGAATAGTAGTCAGAGTCAGTAGTCACAAAAGTAGTTGGGCGGCATGGTGGCTGAGTTGATAGCACTCCGCTTCTCAGCAAGAAGATCCTGGGTTCGAATCCCGGTGGGACCAGGGCCTTTCTGAGTGGAGTTTGGATGTTCTCCCCATGTCTGCATAGGTTTCCTCCGGGTACTCCGGTTTCCCCTACCACTAAAAATATGTACAATAGGTCTGGCATGCGCCTCCTGTACTGGCGACCCCGCTCCCATCTCTGTGTGGAGTGAGTGGACCAATGCCCAAAATAAATTACAATTTGTGACTCTGGTCTGTGAAAGGCAGTATATAAATAAAGATTAGAGTTTAGATTAGAGTCTGAGATTATATATTAATCATCCATCCATTTTAGGGCTGGGCAATAAATCAAATTTGTGAAAAATGTGAAAATCTTGAAATCGAATGAAGGATATTGTGAGAGTTCCAGCAGCACAAGAATTATACTTGCAATATCAGCACAGTCTGTACAAGACTTTTATAATACATATTGGGGAAAACATTAAAAATAGTTTTGAAACATGAATATTGAGCGGAAATATCAAAACATATTTTTGAAGGCAAAGTCTGTCTTCAGTGACCTTAAAGAAAATCGATTAAAAATCAAAATCGTCCAAAGCTGGAAGTAAAATCGAGATTTTACTTTTTTGCCATATCGCCCAGCTCTAATCCATCTATCCATTTTCTTCCCCTTAATCCATTTCTGGGTCGGGGGGGTGGCAGTCAGAGCTGCACCCAGTACACTTAGCACTAGCCCCTCACTGATTCTCCTGCAGGTGGTGAGTCCACAGGAGCTGAGATCTTTCAGCGGAGTTAAGTGTCTTGCCCAAGGACACAACGACTCTCATCAGTGGGAGTCGTGAAGTAGGTCTTATGGTGAACCCCTTGAACCCACAACCTTCAGTCTCAAAGGCCAATGCTCAACCAACTGAGCCACTGTTGCCCATTTATTAAGTTATGTCAAACCAAAAGTGTTTGTCATTGACCTTCAACAACTTCTGAATCATTTGGGATTGTCAATCACTTCAATCAATACAAAGCAATAGACACAAGGGAATATCATTTTTGTGCTCAGATCTGCAGTCCATCTCATTCAAAAGTGAATTCTCTGAAGGCATTGGAACCCGCCTGTGTACATTTCTATGTAAAACGGATGATGACTTGAAACTGCGTCGCTCTGGTCAGACCACATATTTCACAAAGTTAGTCACGCTCTGACAAAGAAGAGCTGACAGGAGATGACAGACAGCGGGAGGAGCGCATACGTGTGACCAATCATCTACAGACGTGTGAAGATAACAGCACTAGAATTAAGTTATAGGCACGGCTCAAGCGTCACCTTTGGACATTTGCTCCTTTGATAATAATATACAAGTTGTTGTTTTTTTCACCTTACCAAGAGTACTGGCAAACATGAAGTATTGTGTATGCGACATTGTACAAGAACCAGAATGAAACAAGAAGTATTAGCTATGAAATTGTTGTAGATAAAAGGTAAAATGTATTATTTATAACAGTGCCACCTGTTTGTTATGAAATTTCTCCACTGTGGGATGAATAAAAACTATCTTGATCTTCTGAGCTTGCAATCTTTTAAACTATGGAATAATGACAATAAGAGCCATCTCACCAAGTATGGATCAGATCTCTGAAGAGACAAGATCAATAGCCATTCAAAATATGTGTAAGTGATTATAAAAAGAGCCAATAACTTTCAAAGAGAGAAATGCAGTTATAGGTTGATGAGATAATAATAACGAGAATGTATGCCAAATTGTCGGGAATAGAAATGATAAAGCAAATTTCTATGATTTGAAGTGACGACAATTGGTAGAGTATTTGATCAATTATGACGTGCGTAAACAAAATAAGAAAGCTTTAAACTTCCTCCCACTAACATTACAATACACAAGGATGACTCAAAATGTTTTTAACAGACAGATTGCAACAAGTCGAGGCGAACCAAACTCAACTCAGTGAAATAAAAACATGTCTCCACTCCACAGTATACCCTCGTGTGTCACTCACCTTGTAGACTTTCCCAAACGCACCATCGCCCAATTCCCCCACAATCTCCCACTGGTCATTGGGGTTGATGTCTCTGTGCACGTGTTCGTACTGCTTCACCTTCTTCTTCAACGTTGTAGGCAGTCGAAATATGTTATGAAACCTTGAAAGTGCCATTTTGTATCCAAGTAATCGCCAAAAGTCCAAGTTATCGCTCTTGAGTCGCGAGCTTTTACGCACGCCAAGACGCGCCTCTATGTGTTAAAAAATCGTAATCTCCCTGTTTTGTCTCTACTATAAATGGTACAAACTGAAAGAAAACTGGTGATAATACTTCATCCCGCTCTCTCCATGTCACCTGTGAGAGTTTGTGGTTGTCATAGTGCCATAGAGTGTCGCAGCTGTGAGGCGCGTTGACCACCTGCCGTTTTGAGAGTGCGATCCGCTTCAGCTTATGCCTGGTCAAAAAAAAAAAAAAAACAAGCCCCACCTTTTGCTTTTTTTTTTTTAACTTGTTACGTATGCGTGCTCCCGCTGGCGTCATGGAAATGTAGTTTTTAGAAATGAACGATCCCTTTGAGCGAGGCGGAGAAAGGACTTCACATCCGGGTGCGTATAGAGCAGGGGCGCGGTCCTCTGCGGGTGACACTTTGGCCAATTAGAAACGTGTGCCATGATATCCAAAACAAATATTTCAAAATGCTGTCAATCTATACAAGCAATAGCCTCCTCTTTCACATGACCCAAAACCCATAAAAACACACTCACTTTTTGAAATATTTTACATATAAATCCAGCCTGTTATGTTTTGTTTTCTCTTTTTTTTTTGTACTTTAGTATGGTTGTTCTTTTATTTCATAACAACTCTGGCTCCCCTTCCACCCACACTCTGTTTTTATGTTATACGTTTGTGTCTATTGGAGTTTGATTGTACTCTGAAAGAACTCCACAATGTTCTTATTATCCATCAATAGAAACTTATTTATTTTCTGAACGAATTGTCCATAAAAAAGTGAGCTGTGTAACGTGACTGTTCTGTGGAGATGCTTTATATTTAAAGCTGGGGTACCTAACTTTAAAGCCACACAATTGAACTAATACGTCCAACTAAAGTTTTCAAAACAGTTTGGTTTTATCATTACTTTTCACATGCATGCATTTTTGATACAAACCAATGTCAGGTTTTCACATAAAAAATGAAAAAAGAGAAGACCACCCTCAGCCAATCAGCTCTTAGCCCAAAGCGTCCATTAGTTACACACAGGGAACTTTCAAACAGGTATTCAAAATAGACCTTATGGTGTGGTCTGATTTCTCACAATTTACCGAAGACTTATTGTTGGCACAAACCTTTATAATAATTACAGAATCAGTGAATCATTATCCATAAATCCAGGTGACCAGAAGGTCCTTTGTGTGCTTGTCTCAAATATTACTAAATATCATTGACAAATACATGAAATACATATGCTACAAAAAGAGGTTCACTGATGCATGGATAATAAACACTGTTGGACTTTCTCCCCTCAAAGAGATAGATCATTTGAATTGCTAATCAACATCATCCCATCATCAGATCCATGGATAAAACTTTTCCACGTTGGAAAATTCCACCAGAGACGTTGCATATTGTAGAGTAGCCCACGTGGTCTTGAATTAAAGTATAGGGTCATTATTGTGTTGTCTCAAACTGAGGGTGAACGCCTTTTGAAAGTGACAGCCATGTACTGTACATGCAGTTTGACACCGCCTCCTAGTGGACATTTACTGTTACCACAATAACTCTCAGGGAACCGGTTTAGGAGTATTCGATTGACTACATTTAAATTCACATGTGTTGTCTTTCCAAGTATTACAACGGAGGAGGAAATGTCACTTCAATTGCTGTTTGTTTTCTTCAAATACATTTTTTTTTGCCCACAGGATACTGACATCATACCCAGGCGGTATCGCTTTATATTAAGGTGTGCTTGTTAAGTATTAATAAGGTATTAATAGACATTAGCAACATGCTTATAGATTGCTTATATGTACTTATAAACATATTAATAAGCTGCTCATTTCACTATTCTCTAAATGATGTTGTTCTAGTTATATGCTTTTAAGCGTTTAATAAGTAATTAGTAAGATACTTATTAAAGGAGGAATATGTTTATAAATATATGAATAAGCTGCTTATTAAACTATTATCAATACCATGTTAATAGGCCACTAACAATATGCCTATAAAGATATTAATACGCTGCTTTTTAATAGGCAATAGTGGTAATAGGCCACTAAAAATATGCGTTAATAAACTGCTTATTACACTATTTTGCAGTACCCTAATCTAAAGCGAGGAGCATTTTTGTTAATGCAGAAAAAAACACAACAATGATCTAAGATGTTTTTATTTATTCAAACAGCAACAATTAAAGTCTAAATGAAAAAATATATCAAAATGAAGTTTGTGCCAAAAGTTTGTTAGTAACTTCAAGGAGCCATGATGAACCCACTCATGCTCCGACCTGCTCTGTTCATGAATTTGGCTTTGGCAAAACAGTGAATCAACTGACTTCACGAGCCTGAGAGATTAGCGGAACTCGCCTATTTTTGGGCATCGTCTGGTCCTCCCGGTTCTGCGCAGTGGACGAGCTCCCATGATGCTTTGCGGCAAATACGCGTGCGTGGCTGTCATGCACGTGCACAGAGGGGCCGTGCTCTGACCAATCAGAGCTGCTGATTGGCGCGAGAGTTAGAGCGAGAGTTAGAGCGGGAGCCAGACGAGTAGAGTTTGTGGCCGTAAAATGTGGATTTAAAGGACAACTCACCCTCAAATCCACTTTTTTTTTTTGCTGATAAACGGTATAAATGAGTGTCCAATAGTGTTGTCTACATATCCTGGTCATAATTTTGTCACTTTGGTGCAAATTAGTTGAAAGTTAAACTTTCTGCCTAAAACCATCTGTGAGGCGCCATCTGCTGGCGACCTGTATTACTACATTTGAATTTTGAATCTGGCGCCTGAGACCTGACGTCAGCAGCCCCCCGCCCAGAGCTATATAAACGGCCCAGTCTCGTTCACGCCCCCTTTAGTCCTCCGGGCTACGCCCATTTAGAGGAAGATTTGAACAGGAAATGTGAGCTCCGAGGAGCGGGGGTGAGAACCACTTTAAAGAAAACTGAAGGATTTAAGAAGAAAAAAAGTTCAGGATGACAAGGGACACTAAAATCCCCAGAAAATCCGACCTTTATGAAAGCTGTGGGTTCTCTGTCAGGTTCTCTGTCAGCTGAGGTCGAGCTGTTTTAATTTACATTGAGTTCTATGGGACTTTTTCTGGGTAGCCCTCGTGAATTTAGTCTGCAGTACCACAGCGCCCCCTGTGCCCATGGGTGGGACAGCTATAAGCTAGGAATACACTATCCAGTTATTATTATAGTTCCATGGTTGTGCCACAGGTGCATTGTATACATGGATCTATTATAATAACTGGATAGGGTATTACTAGCTTGTAGCTCGGGAGATTCTTGTGGTACTGCAAACTAAATTCACGTGGGCTATCCAGAAATTGTCCCATAGAACTCAATGTAAACTAAAACAGCTCGACCTCAGCTGACAGAGAACCTACAGCTTTCATAAAGGTCGGATTTTGTGGGGTTTTTAGAGTCATCCTGAACTTTTTTTCTTCTTAAATCCTTCAGTTTTCTTTAAATCCACTTTTTACTGCCACAAACTCTACTCGTCTGGCTCTTACTCCCGCTCTGACTCCCACTCTGATCAGCAGCTCTGATTGGTCAGAGCGCTGCCCCTATGTGCACGTGCATGACAGCCACGCACGCGTATTTGGCGCAAAGCATCATGGGAGCTCGTCAACTGCGCAGAACCGGGAGGACCAGACGATGCCCAAAAATAGGCGAGTTCCGCTAATCTCTCAGGCTCGTGAAGTCAGCTGATTCACTGTTTTGCCAAAGCCAAATTCATGAACAGAGCAGGTCGGAGCATGAGTGGGGGCATCATGGCTCCTTAAAGTTACTAACACATTTTTGGCACAAACTTAATTTTGATATATTTTTTCATTTAGACTTTAATTGTTGCTGTTTGAATAAATAAAAACATCTTAGGTCAATGTTGTGTTTTTTTCTGCATTAACAAAAATGCTCCTCGCTTTAGATTAGGGTACTGCAAAATAGTGTAATAAGCAGTTTATTAACGCATATTTTTAGTGGCCTATTACCACTATTACCTATTAATAAGCAGCGTATTAATATCTTTATAGGCATATTGTTAGTGGCCTATTAACATGGTATCGATAATAGTTTAATAAGCAGCTTATTCATATATTTATAAACATATTCCTCCTTTAATAAGTATCTTACTAATTACTTATTAAATGCTTAAAAGCATATAACTAGAACAACATCATTTAGAGAATAGTGAAATGAGCAGCTTATTAATATGTTTATAAGTACATATAAGCAATCTATAAGCATGTTGCTAATGTCTATTAATACCTTATTAATACTTAACAAGCACACCTTAATATAAAGCGTTACCTACCCAGGCTCATGTATTGGCTGAGAAACAAACAGAGGCATTTTAGTTCACTTCTCAATCTAGGCAGAGGAACAACCAGACCTCTGCATTATTCAGACAGGAAACATTTGTGTTTTAAGGTATAGGCTTATTTCTTTAATTTGCATTGTAAACTAGTGCATAGGAGTGATTATTAGACAAAATAAAAATTCTAAAAAATTAATCATATTGATTGATTCATAATGTCTTTGCTTCAGTGTTTAACTATTTTCTGTCTGGTCTTTTTTAATTCTATGGATGTTCATGTCCAATGCAAAGCTTAGATTGAAGATAAAAACGTATTCAAAGTCAATATTGTTTATATCCTTTTGTCTACAGAAAGTTCCAGCATAAAAATGCCACATCACAATGTGTGCCTTAACATTTCTTTTCACAAGTTCATCCCAATCATATATTATCAATGTAAAACACGTAATTTTAAATAAACCTGTATAAATAAATGCCCTTTTTATACAAACCAATTATGATTTATTAGTAGTGTTAGTTTAGTTTAGTTAGTCATTATGAACATTTGGATTAATGTCCATCCATTAATGTGGGACATTGAGAGCCTTATGACTTATTAACAGCTCTGCATCAGAAAGCATGGCTTTTCGATCATGAACCTGTAATAATCCAAATAAGACACATGCTGTCAGTGTTTATGAAATCCACAGATATTGGAAGTTCAGCTGAGATTAAATAACAAGACACCAGTGTTTCATGGCCATTTTAATGTGTAGAACAACACAAGAACACATATTTTTGATGTTTTATTTTGTGTTATCAAATGATGGATCTGGAAACTGATCTGTGTTTGTGTTGTTTACTGGTATCCGTAAAATGGTCTCTCCAGAGCTGCACAGTCATAAATGGTAAACACCAAGTCCTGAAAAAAAGAATGTGCTAGAGTGACGTAGAATCACACAAAACATTCTTGTGCAATCTGATAATTGAAATTACAAGTCCATATTATTTCAATAAACACTACATTTCAGAATGCAAAAATATTATGAAATTATTGAGAATTTAACTAGATAATATGACATGTACTACTGCACATACTGTAGTCCACCCAAATCAGAGTGGTGAAAAATGAACACCCACATATTAAAATCATACTTCTGGTGGTGTCATCAGTTTATTTGCAGTTTATTTGTGAATTTATTTGTGTCCAAAACAAAAGTTTTATTTTGTTCCCAGAGATTGCCAAGTTTTTTTAAATTTAGCCATGCAACCAAGATGCTATCACAAGCAAACATGATTAATTTATAGTCTCAAAACTATTTTGAACTACTAGAATAGTATATTTATATATATAATAGTATATTTCAATTTCTCCATCTGTGTGAGATAATTAAGGATTGATTGATTGATTGATGTCTAGTGAATTCATTGTTTTAGCTTATTATGAAGGAGATGTATGAATGAAAATACAACAAAACATGTTTTTTGTTACAGGAAATCAAGGTGTTTTCTACTTTCAAATTATAACATAATAGAGCCACTCTGGGAGCTTTGGAGAGGATAAAGAATTTGATCCACAACAACCACAAAATACTCCAAGCTGTGCAGTTTAGAACTGAGTAGATTCAGCATATAGCAATTAAATATAAAAAATAAAAAATAAAAAAAGTTTTGTTGACGTTTTTGCTTGGGTATTTAAACTGCGCAGTGGCCCTCACCCCGTGGCACTTTTGGGACATGATGATGAAAAGCTGTCTCAGAGTGTGTCCGAGGCGCCGCACGTCTGGGGTGTAGGAGCAGCGTCTGTCCCTCATCCCCTCCAGCAGAGAAATGTAAGACCGCATCTTGTACATCACACACGCATTCTGACAAAAAATAAAACCACAGGTCAGAAGCAGAAGGACTATGAGCACCAGAAAGAACCAAGAGAAAGGCAAACTGTGGGACTATGGTAAAGTGCTATTGACTCCTCTCCGATAAACAACTAGCCCAAATGTAGGGCACGCTCATACTCCTGGTTCGGGTTAACTTTAGCTGGATTTATTCTTGTTCAATTGGGACAAAATGCTTTATTTTTGGAGGAAAAACACCAAACAAGAAATCTGGGGATTTGAAGTGGTAAATCCACTCTAAAAATGAACACGACTTTTTGACTTCAGGGGGAGGCAGCAAACAGTCTTCCAAAAGATGTAAGGGTGGCCTCATGGCATCTCATTATCTGAAAACCCCTCTGTTTAGCTGCGCGTATTACTGAGTATTATTGAGTTTTAACATATGTATTTTTTCTTAATAACCTTGATTTAACCAGTAAAAGGCCAATGTGATTGCAGAATCTTTTTTTCAGATGAGTCCTCGTCCCAGAGTGAGGGGGCAGGAGTAGGGTCAGGAGAGTATTATGGTGGACTATTGCACAACCAGAGCACCCTGAAGGAAATCTAAGAAGGATGAAAGGATGGAGAGAACATGCAAACTCCACACAGAAGACCAGGACCTTCTTCTGGAAACCCAGGACTCATTCACTTACTTACTGTGTCACCCGTCAAGATATATTATGACATTGGCTGTTGTTTTTTTGGTATGATTGCTTTACCTTCTATGTTTTATAATGTTGGTATGTGTATTATTTTATGTATTTGTAATATACTTGATTGAAGTATCATAGCGAGTTGAACAGTATTTTTAACACCTCAAAACTGGAAAATGCTATGATCAAAACAAACTACAATTCACTGTCCGTTTCTAGACCCATTAAAAAACCTCTTCAACCATCTTTGGTTTCGGGGAGGATATGATTGTTGTCAGCCAGAGTAAGCTGAAATAACAACTTACAAACCAAGCAGCAGAGATGCATTCTTCCATTGTCGCCAATTCTCCCATTTTCATTTGTGTCGTTTTGATGAACTCAAATAATGATACTTACATGGACATCGAGGCGTAGGTCTGGCATGTGTGCCATGCAGCGACTCTGCAGAAGACAACAGAAGTAAAAGCAACATAACATGATTGACTATTTACGGTTTTGATTATTATTATTAAAGTAGATGAAATGTGTGGCTGTGCAAAAACTAAAAAAATAATAATAGAATTTATTTTAACCAGGATAATAATTTCATTGGACTATTCAAATTATTATTAAAAGTATATTGGTGATTGACTTTACATGTGCCACCAGGATGTGCATACATTTTTTCATGCTATTAATTTCAGCCAAATCATAGCTTTAAAAAATATCTTGAAATCTTCTCAGAGACATCAGCACCCTATAGATTTTGTGATATAATATGTTAAATTAGAATAGAGTGAATCAAAGCCAAATCCTGATAGAAGCAATGTGAACTGATCAATAAAAACATGATTCAAAAATAAAAAACAAAAACAAAAATCCCAGCCTTTCTTATGCCCACTTTAAAACGCCAATTGTTTAGTTCATCACTTCAATAATATAGTTGAACTTGTTGGGATATGTTGTATGTTTATTGTTTGACTTCATACGGACCTATGATATTTTTGTAGATAAAGATTGGAGAGGATCCAGATGAAGTGACTAATAACCACATCACATGTATTGAATTATTTGAGTGTCTTTGTGTGTACTCACAGTCTCATAGTGGCTCTTGAAGTATGCGGCCCATTGGCTGGCCTCCTGTGCCATGCTCAGGACTTTGGAGTAGCATGTCGGAGGTATAAACGGAGGAGCGGCATCCGTCAGAGCAGTTTTCATCAGGAGAAGAAGGAGCCCAAACAACATCATCATTCAAAACAAGTCCTGACCGAGCCACGTCTGCATTCACACCGAGGCCTTCACTTTGTTTTCCCCTGCATCACTTTTATATGAGAACCAATACACACAGCCATAAAGGAGAGGGAGGGAATGCAGTTGTTTTGATTGTGGTCGTAATTATACACAGGCACTGGTTGTATATCATCCAAGGAACTGAGGGACTGTGGAGCAGTGTCATAAAAATAAGAAATTGAAAATACAAGCTGAATAAGACAAAATCATAAGGAATTTAACCGCTTTGCTTTTTGGGCAATATTCTAATGCAGTCCAATTCTGAAAAGAGTGTCTGTAAATGTATGGGTTTTTTTTCTCATTTTTGACAGCCCTCTTATGCATTTGAACATTGCAGTATACCATATAACCATATTGTATAGAATTGCCTTACTTCTTTGTTAAGTTGGAGATATTTTCCTTCATCCTTTTTATCCCTGGATTAAATCATGGTTGAACTCTTGATGGTCTGACAGGAGCGGCTCCTCTGTGTGAAACCCTTGCGTCTGGGTGTGATGTGACACACTAATCAGACCTGTCTCAGAGGAAATGGGGTTTGCCGTTTTTGGCAAATGCAATCAGCTGTTCTTCTTTAAAGACTCTCCATTTGATTAAAAACTATGACCACACCATTGATTATTATTATTCTTTTTTTTTGTGTGGAATCAGGCGTGTAATAATTCTTTAAGGCATGTGTCGTGTTTAATAATAATACGTTGTACTTATATAGCGCCTTTTTGGGTACTCAAAGATGCTTCAGAGTAGAACAAATAGGAAGAAAAGAAAAAAAGAAATAAACAGTTGAATAGGCAGTTTTGAACAAGTGGGGTTTGAACAGTGATTTGAAGGTCTGAAGTGAGTTCAAGTTCCTCATGTGTTATGGGAGTGAGTTCCAGAGAGTGGGTGAAGCGCCAGCAAAGACTCGGTCCCTCAAGGTTCGGCACTTTGCTTTGATGGGAGTGAGGAGGTTGGAGTCTGTTTATCTGAGGCAGCAGGTGACACAGTGATGGAGAAGGTCATTGTTTTCCAAAGTCATTGTTTTGCAAAGTCATATTTTGATTCATAATGGTGGATAAATACATTTTCATTGTTTTAGCTATAAACATTATTTATTGAGGATATGGGTATAGGTCCAAATAAGGTATTACAACTGTCCTAATGTAGAGGGAAATCACTAAATTCACAAAATGAATAAGCATATTCTATGCAAAGCACATAATGTGAACTTAAAGAAAAACTATTAGATAAACTATTAATATTTGTCTCTGCTTGTTGTTTTTGTCAATCACTACAATGCAGCACTTCAGAACCTTCTGAATGTTCACGCCCCTGTCAAATCAAGAACGGCCACCTTCACAAAATCAGCACCGGGGTTTACCAATGAGCTTTGGCAGTTGAAAACAGCAGGCTGTGCTCTTGAGCGACGTGCTGTGAAAAGCAATTTAACTGTTCACAATCTGGCATATACTGTAGGAACCATCAAAAACGCTATTCAAGAGCACTAACCACGGCCAGATCACAATACTATTCAAACGCTATAAACAGCAACCCTGGAAATTCAAAACAACTTTTCTCCATAGTAAACAAACTCATCAAACCAAAGACCAATTCATGCAATAACCAATCAGAACACGAGTGTAATATATTCATGGCACATTCCACCTCTAAGACAGACAAGATCCATACCTCACTCTCTGCTGCTATGCAACCTCAGATGAAGTTGCCATTAGCAGATTCAGAAGGTGGCTTCTCTCAGTTCACCACTGCTAGTGAGAAGCAAAAAATGCGGCCTTCTTCTTGTCCTCTTGACCCACTTCCCACCCCTCTGATCAAATCCAATGCCTCTGCAATAAGCCCACATATTACTGACATAATAAACCAGTCCCTTTCTGAGCGGCTACATCCCACCCACACTAAAAACAGCCATCATTCGTCCTCATCTTAAAAAACCATCTATGGACCCCGACATCTTGGCTCACAATCTCGAACCTCCCTTTCTTGTCTAAGGTCATGGAAAGGGTTGTTTCTGCCCAACTTCAGGACCACCTGAAACACAATAACCTCTACGAAAAAATCCAGGCAGGCTTCCGATCACACCATCACAGAAACAGCCCTGGTCAGAGTCACCAATGACCTCATGGTGGCTTCTGACCAGGGCTTTCCATCACTTCTCCTACTCCTGGGCCTCACAGCCACATTCAACACCATAGAACATTCATTTCTCCTTCATCGCCTTCATTCAATAATTGGCCTCTCTGGCACCGCTTTGAGATGGTTTGGGTCCTATCTCACTGATAGAGCTGAGTACTGTATGTGGCCTTGGGGGAGTCTAAATCCCAGACTCACACAGTCTCCTGTGGAGTCCCACAAGGGTTGGTACTTGGGCCGACCCTTTTCAACATCTATATTCTCCCCCTGGCTGCGTCATCGGCAGGCATGGAATATCCTTCCATAGCTATGCAGATGACACTCAGCTCTATGTGAGACTGGACCCAGCCTCTCCGTCATCCACCCCTGCTGCACTCACCTCCTGCCTGGAGGAGATATGGCGTGAATGGCTCAAAACTTTCTCCAGCAGAACAGCACAAAAACAGAAGCTCTCTAAATTGGCACCCCCCAACAACTCTGTTCCCTGTCTGTAGACTGCATTCATTTCTCTGGTCAAACCATCACCCCCTCCTTCTGTGTTACAAACCTCGGTGTCAGGTGTGTTCCCACCTCACCTTTCATCCACACATCCAACATATCTCCAAAACTGCTTACTTTCACTTAAGAAATTTTGCCAAACTCCGCCACTCTCTCTTCCTCTGTGATGCTGAGAAGCTGGTCCACGCCTTTATCTCCTCCAAGTTGGACTATTGTAATGCCCTCCTCGTCGGGATCCCTGGCAGAAGCCTTCAAAAGCTTCAGCATATACAAAACAGTGCTGCCAGGGTTCTGACGAGGACAGGCAAGTTCGACCACATCACCCCCGTCCTCCATTATCTCCCCTGGCTCCCCATACACCTCCGTATTGAGTATAAGATCTGTCTCCTCACTCACCAATGCATCCACAGCAACGCTCCAGAATACCTGAAAGACCTCCTGACCCTACAATCCACATCACGATCCCTCCGGTCCACAAACACCTACCGTCTCAGTCAGCCAATCACACGCCTTCACTCCATGGGAGACAGGACTTTTTGTTTTGCCTTTGTTTAAACTTGCTGTAGCACCTTCAGATGTGCTTTGTGCATATGTAAGGTGTGTTATAAATCAAATCTATTATTATTATTATTATTGATTGTCTTGCATTGTGAACATTTTAAATCCCATACTCATTTGGCAAATCGATTGATTGAACTTTTTAAGTGGCGATCTACCACTTTTATTCAATTGGTTATTATTCCAAAATATTACGTCAAAATAGGGAAAATCACAAAACTGTACTCTTATTGAGTAGTGATCACTTATACTTGCATATGTCGTTGTTGGACTTGGTTGAGGCTGCGACCTCTGATATGGTGGACAAAGTGGATGAGTAAGCATTTTTCCAAAACCATTTAGTCTGTGCTGTGGCCCGCTGCTTGACCTTGTCCCATCCCATTAACACGGGGACACGGGCGACTCTCCCAGTTCCTAATGGATGAGAGGATTTACTGAACCTAATGGCACAGTAAGTTAATTTATGATGCCTGGGAGAGACCTGCACAAAAAGAAAAATCCTATATAAAGGCTTATACCACAATATTTCTTTGTTGAATACAGCAGCCATGTTCTTTGACAATTCCAATGAAGTAGACTATCGACTTATGGTTTCAAGAAAAATCAAGTAACATATAAGAAAAAAGGGGGGAAATGAGGATTATATGAATGAGAATACGTATGATGATTTTTTTGTAAGAATTTAACAATATGTACCAGTTAAAAATACCCCTTTCCATATTAATCAAATGCTGTTTAAGCTAGGGTTTCTCACTTTTTGTTTTGTAAATTACACATAATCTTCTATTTACTATTGGACACTTTGGGCTAGGAGCTGATTGATGTGAGTGAAAGTGGCCCTCTCTTTTTCAAATGTCTCCGTCTGAAAAACCAGATCTACAGATGTTACACAAAAAATCAATGCGTGCATGGGAAAAAAACCGACATAGAAACACTTTTATTTCATGATTTATCAAAGGTTGTAGTTTGAAATATAGGTACTCCAGCTTTAAATGTCACTGGGCGCTTTACAAAGCACTGACAATGTAAATACAATTATCACTATTTACATTTGTATTCTGACATGATATAATGTATTCATTGTAACTTTGTGTTTCAGTTATATTTTGAGTATAAATTTGCAAAAAAACACACACATGGGAACTGGGGACACATTTTTGGACACAAATGAAAAAAATAAATGATTAATACTTTAAATGAGCTTTTTATTCTCAGGTCAAAGCATAGACTGTATATATTAAGGTCAAAGCCACAAGTTCAGTTTGTAATGGCCCTTTCTTCCCTTTAGAGGGCGCTGTAGTCAAGACCATTAACGCAATCACTTGACATGTCTTGGGAACACGTTTTTTTCTCACTTCAACTTTGAAGGTAGGGACTTTAAACTTTCTAACACTAATAATACCAAAATATCCAAGTTTATAACGACATACAACACATTTATATATATATACATTAATATATTTATATACATATTTGTTTTCCCTTTAAAGGCACACCGCGGACTTTGTGACCTAAAGAGTTGACACATATGAGTTATTTTATATGAATACTTGGGCCAATATACAGCGCTTGACACTTGCAATGCTCCGAGCGGGGCTGCCCTCTTGAAATACCGCCCATGTAAGTTTCGAGCAGACGGACCGTCTGCCACCAGGTCACGTGACTTGGAAGAAAGACTTGCTTTACGGCTACAGGCGCTGATATACTCATGGAGCTAAGGCTTTTGCTACTCATTTTTCACCTGCTCGACTCCTGGTCATGGCTGAGGCAAGGAAAAATTTTAAACCTTCGGAGGAGGCTAAAAAGAGGAAACGCGAAAGGGATCGTGCTGTAAGCTGCATGTCTGTATGAGCGCTGCTCTTCACCTGGTTCCTGGATGTCATCGACTGCAAAGATGTCATTCCACGCAGCACGAGCTAGACGCAGAACTCCCTCATCCAGGATATAGAAGTCCATGTGTGGTAGATTACTAATGCAGCGGTCTGGAGGCTGACCACAGCAGAGTCTCTCAATATCTGTAGGCATGTCTCTACAGTTTGAACACACACACCAGTGCATGCTGTCTGAATACACACTCAAAAGACACCGGCTGACTGTTTGTTGACTTTTGCGACAGTGCTGAGTTGCTTGTGGCCACTAGGGGCGCTAAACGTGAAAGTTGCAGGTCTAGCGCCCCTAGTGGCCAAGAGTTACACGGTGTGCCTTTAAGTGCAATGTCACGCCAGGCTAAATGTAAAGTCACGCAAGCTTTTCATCCCGCGCATTTATTGTTATTAATAAATATATAAAATAACTTAATATCTAATTTAATATTCTCCTTTGTCACCATTGCAGCAATTATACAGCAGGGCAACGTGGTGCTGTGGACACTCAGGCTGGCTGCGAACCGGTCTATGCTGCAAACAAACCAATCCAAGCATCGGAGGCAGCAGCATGTGGAGGTCACCGAGCCTTCAGTGGTATTCTGTTACACTGTAGCTGTCTATTTTTACCTTTTTTTTGTAAGACATCAGCCCATATTGTCTCTTTGAATAAGCGCATGCAATTCACATTTTCACAATCGCGTCTCCATCTCTTCACTGGTTTAAGGACGTGGATCGTATCAACGCGGGACTACTTGCAAACTGGACTGTTGCTTTTCGATTTTAACATTGTTTTTTGTGTGTGTGTGGAGAATCCTGCTGTAAAAACCCTGGGAAATGCTGATCAAAGGTACGTGCCTGTCCACTGTCCTGCAAAGACGCATTACACAGAAGGAATGTATAATATGGAGACTACTTTATATTCTGTCCTTCTTTTTGATATGATAAGAAATAGTTCAAAATAGCTCTTTCTATAGCTTTGAATATTTCATTTTACCCTGAGTATTATTCACGTTGGCTGGCAGTGACCTTACCACAAAAGCCAGCAATGACAATCATAAAAGGGTTATCCCCTCTGGCACTCCGAATGGCTTCAACTTTATCTACCTCAAGTCAGAAATGTCAATATTGAGTCTAAAATATGTCTTTTTTCTTGTCTTTTTTCCACAGCAATGCAGTGCTGTCATGTTTGTAGCTATACCTGGCTAGAAACTCCATAAAATCTTAAAATGTTATACTTCTGAAGCTATTGTCTAGAAAGAATGGTGAACATATTGAGAGTAGAAATAACTGTAGCACAAAACGCCATAGGGAAACCATTGACAGTTAAGCACCAGGAAAATGGACCATTCATCACACTTACACTGAGTGGTCCTCTGGGAAGAGTTTCTGATTAAAAGGCAGTATAAAGATAAAAAGACAGAGGGGCTATAGTGACAAGGTCATAAAACAGCAGAAATCATTTTGAATATGATAGAAGGAGCATGTTTATATGTATTCATTTTGTTTTGCCTTAAAGCTGTGGTGCCTAACTTCTGCATGATGTCTTTATCTTATCAGAAAATATGTTAGCATGCTGTGAGCCCTGTGAGTCATTATTTGAAGCTGTGGGCAAAGATCTGATTGGCTGTGCAAGGATGGTTATATTTGGTCTAACAATATGAATAATAAGTAAATCTAAACTTTGATGATATTTCACATGCAGTTGTTTATATATGAACAAAAAAAGTGGTTAATTCTTCCTTTAAAGTTATTCAAATCTATCTTACACATTTGAAATACACTTTTAAGATGTTAAGAAGTTTATTGTGATTGTCCTTACATAAGAATTAATGGCACAATACCATGTGTCAATAAATAGAATCAATTATCAAAAAAGCACTATTATCAACACAAGAACTTACATTGCTAACATAATTTAAAACAAAATGGTATTAAGTGTGCAAAATGACATAAAGAATACTTATGTGTAATTCAAAACCCTCTTCAGTAATATGTTGATGGTTTTTGTATTAGATGACTCATTTCTTTGTAGACCTGCGTAAACACTTGACGTGAGTTCACATAATACAGAGTGAATCATCATAATACACAAATACAAAAAGACAGAATGAACCTGTGCTTTATTTGTCATTATCATCTCCGGGAACAGACATTGTATTATTTTTGGTAAAGGTTTTTACCAATGGGTTCTACTATTGAAAGTGATTATTTAAAAACCAAGCTACATTTAATTTGGGATGTAGTAATAGTAATAACAATGTTACAAAGTATAAAGATGGGTGCTTTGGATGAAAATATGTATATAGTTTTGGATAACAATATTTATATTCCTTAAATGAAATATACCCTGGTTGAAGTTCAAATTTTGGATGATTTTGATAGACCTGATTGAAATAAATGAGTAAAATATATCCTTTATTAGATTAACCTAGATTTTTTATTATTTCTAGCAATAACTTTGCTTCCAAACCAGAAAAATAATGTCTTCATGCTAAAGTTGATTGGATTTATAAAACAATGTCAATGAAGAAGAAATGCAAGAATATTTTTTTTTTCTGTAGCACATTTCATACAAAAAACAATGTGTTTATATCTTAACATCAAGAGAGACATTGCATCGAATCACATTAAGCTACTTTACACACACGCATTATGAAGTCTTCAGTTTAAACTTGAATGAGCTTAGCGTCAGAGCACTTTTGTTATTATTTGACAGTATTTACAAGAAGCACAATGTGAGAAAGCTGCTTCTCTTAATTTTCAGAATATCTGAGAGGTTCATAAGGCACAAGTAAATAAGAAAACTTTTCATGGGAGACCAAACTATAAACTGTCCAACTCACATTCAGAATGATGCTAAAAAAGAAAGACATATTACATAAAAGGCAGCCAGTCAAATTTAGCAGGTATTACAGGACCCCATGCTGTGTTTCTAGTTCGTCACACACACACACACACACACACACACTATCTCCAGCTCTCTCCTCCCCCTTCACTTGTGTCATTTCTCCCTTTTCGCACTGGTTGCATACTCAGTTACCATCAGCTCATCTTTACTGCTCCAAAAAACATTGCTTTAACAACAACTGAAACTACTACTAGTAATACTTCTCTACTTCTACAACTACTACTACTGTTACTACTACTACTGAGCTGGAGTGATGTGTGTCAAGGTGAAGTACTGACCGAAGGATTCTCCCATCAGCACTTTGGCGACACGTGAGCAGAGGGCTGGATGTCTGAGTGCTACGGACGGGAATGACCAATACAGGACAGAACTAAAGGATCCTCGGCAGAACCAGGAGCAGCAGCCATGGGAATCGGACAGTCCAGCAAGCCCCCAGTCACGGACCAGACAGATGACGGTAAGAGATAAGCAGTTTTGACAGATTTATGGCTGGGGTACCTAATGTTTTTTTCATCAATAATCATACTGTAATTTGGTTTGTCCCAACAGAAAAAAGTCATGTAAAATTTTGGGGACAAATCAGACTACAATGTGCTACATGTATTTTATTATACAACATCTTCTGTAAGCGTGTAAGAAAGAGCCCTGTGAGTACCTATTTGATGTTTTGGGCTGAGAGTTGATTGGTCGAGTCAGGGTGTTCCTCTCTCATCACATTTCTGTGTGAAAAAGCTGATCTAATGATGTGACAGGTAGAGGCCAAAAATGCATGCGTGTGAAAACTAGTGCTAGAACCAAATTGTTTTCAGAGTGAGAATCTAGTACAATTACTATTAGTTTGATTGTTTGTGGTTTGAAAGTTAAGTTTAAATACGGTTGGATTATTAATTAGTTGTTTGTGTGCATTGGAAGGATTTTTGGTTTTCATTGGATTTTAATAGAATGGGATTTCAACATCATCTCCAGAAAGTCACTTTGACATCATAATAGGACTGGGCAATAAATCAAATGTAGGTGATTAATCGGCTTTTTAAAAAATCGAATTTGTGAAAAATGTGAAAATTGTGAAATCGAGTGAAGGATATTGTGAGAGTTCCATCAGTACATGAATTATAATTGCAATATCAGCACAGTCTGTACAAGAGTTTTATAATACGTATCGGGGGAAACAAATTTAAAATAATTTTGAAACTTGAATATTGAGATTAAAAAAATTTAAGGGCAAAGTCTGTCTTCTGTGACTTTCATGAAAATCTATTTAAAATCGAAATCGTCAAAAGCAGCAAATAAAATCGAGATTTTACTTTTTTGCCATATCGCCCAGCCCTACTTCATACTTATACTGTATTTAGTCCATAGAGACTAAATATATTGGTGTCACTTTTCCCATGCAATCAGAAATGTATGCAACATTCTGAAGATGCTGGGCGAGATGCACATCAATAAATATATTAGGACAGACATATACTCCCATATATAATACTTTTATTTACATAATTACCTATGTTTTCCCCATTATTTGCAGTTTGCCAGATTATGACATGTTTTGGTATTTGACATGTACAATATCTGATACGTGGATCCAGGAAGAGTCTGAAGTCACTGATTGTAAACATTCAGTCATTGCGTATTTTCGTATAATTGTTGTCATATTGCACGTATCAAATGTTTTACTGTAAGACGGTACAGTTATGTAAGAACATTATGTCAGCAGCAGAAAGAAAAACAGTGCTCTTAATGTTCTTTTATAGCAAGGCATTTGTTTTTGTGATCAATGTGAAAGATCGGAGGAGCATAGTATTTGTGTTAGAGAGTTTTCACATTTCATTGAACAGCCGCTCTGCGATAATATGTAAACAAAAGAGATTTATAGTTAACAACACTCAAGGAAGGCTGATGGCTTCAAACTTCACTACTGTTGCTGCTACTACACCGCGATGCATTGTTCCCAACCAAAAAACATGCCTGGAAGTGTAAATACATTTAATTCCAATTGAATATGTGAAGCTCATCATGCTGGCTATCATGAATCCTAGGACTTTGAAATCATTTGACTTTTAAAAACAAAAGTATTGCTTCCAATTTATCATATTTCTTCAAATAAACCTAGCTGTGTAACTAAAAATCAGTTGTGTGTTACACTCATAGACTGTAAATATTAACAGACCTAGTCACGCCTATCTCCGCCGTTCAAACTAATGTGCCACCGCTTTCGGCGTCTATAGGCAGTTTCAAAATGGCCGCAGGGGCAGGAAAATGTGAAAAAAGGCAGCATGCGTCAGCACAAGACCCATTAATTTAATGAGCGCCTTCAAAATTTCACAGTTTCGGTCCAAAAAAATACAGTACACTCCCAAGAGCCCAACCTGTAACCCATTTTAGAGATGTAAGAAGATACGTACATTAGCATTGAATAATTCTTATTCCGGGTCCAACCCCATCGCCCCGGTGCGGTATTGCAAGTATCTCAGCGCACGTCATTTTGGACATTTCTGAGCCGGGACCCGCCCCCACTGATTACACTAGTTAGGGTAATTAATTTGTTTCAGTATTTATGTTTATCCATAAATGTTTTGACTTGAGAACTTATTAAACATTCTAAAACATAAAATGATAAGATAAGACAAGAGTTCCTTCATTTGTCCCACAGTGGGGAAATTTCGATGTTGCAGTATTGCACATTGCACATGATTAAAGAATGTACATACTTTTACTTTACTTGGAAAATGGAAAAGTAAATATGCTAAAGATCACAATTAAGGGACAAAATGGACACACCTTTTGCATAATATGTATCCCTTAAATCAGTGTCTCCCAAAGTGGGGTCCGCGGCCCCCTGGTGGGCCGCGAGGGTACTGCAGGGGGGCCGCGGGAGGTCATAAAAAAAAAAAAAAAAATAATATAATTATTTAATGTTAAATTTATAATGTTTTGTTTGTAATATTAAAATATTTGTGTTCATTATTTGACTTGAATAATCCACTGTAATCATTTTTGTATTACAATGTTTGTAGCAGAGGCTATTTCCCGAAAATAAAATAACCAGAAGAGCCTATTCTTAATGTTGTCTTCTTGGTTATTATTTTGGGGGGCCACGCAGACCCGTCAGATTTTTAAGGGGGCCTCGGTGTTACTGAGTTTGGGAATGGCTGCCTTAAATTCCCCAGCGCAGTGTTAAAACGCTCCTAACATGAACTTATACAGGATGTGTGTGTGAATGTATTTATGTGTTTTTTATTGATGTTTTTAAGCATTTAACTTGCAACTCTCCGTGCTTTTTAATTGCCCCTCGGGGATAAATAAAGTGATTGATTGATTGATTGATTGATTGAAATGATATAAAAGTGAGATTAGATGGTTTTCTCTAAGAAGATATTGAGACTGTATTGATCTTAATCTTAATTCAGTTTTGGCTGAAGTCCAAAACTAAATAAGTAGAGGTTTAGCTGAAAGTGCATGAGGCTTTGGTTTGTCCTCATTATGAATAAGAGATAAAGGTTTATGCTTTTAAGTTATAGACTGAATGTGATGTAGATGTGTATTTAGCATTTTAAATACAGTACTTTTTACGTACATGGTGCCAAAAGATGTTTGATTTATTTTGTTCTCGCTGTCTGAAATCAAACCTATGGTTTTGTAGAAAGTAAAGTATATAATTCAGAATAATTACCACACTCAATATTGTCGCATTGAGCTAATATAAATTATGTACATTATAGTTTTTTTACAATATGTATCTGATGTAATTTACTGCTAACTTAATTATATTATACTCTAAAAGTTATCCTTTTCTGGCCCACAATCTCAAAAATGGCTTGAGTGATTTGAAAGACTCCTGTGGGAATCATAAACTCAGATCGCAGAGCTTCCTAATAGTCACAGCCTCATTCACTGGGAGCAGTCCCTGCGTTAGAGCAGTGCGTCACAGAGGATCTTCTCTGGATCTGGAGAAATACAAGCGAACCTTAAACAATTGTTTACTTGAGGTTACGGCTTTCAGCAACGATCTCATAAGCTAAATAGTATGTCGGGACGGCCATGGCTTTTACCCAGTTTGAATCTGTTGTGTCTGTGGTTGACTGGTGATGATGAGAGGGCACACCGATTGTCAGTCAGGTTTGTCATCTGTACGTCTAAACTACAGTAAACTAAGATCATAACAAAAGTAGTTTGTGTTTATGATGATCTACATGAGCAGATGCAGAGTGTGAGAAGGTGAACCGTGTTCGGGCACGTCCATGTCCTCTGAGGATGACGTTCCCAATGTAAGCCACTTTATTTCCACTTGTGTAACCAGGAAACGCGCGCTTTAGACAAGTCCTGTTTACTGCTAATGTCACTCTGTCACAACGAAAAGCCCAAAGGGGTTGTGTTTCTGTTGCCAGAGCAACTACAGGGGCCAGGCGGTGTCCCCACGTCACTGGGTCCTTTGGTGAGTTTCTTTTCAGAGAAATGGATTAGAACAGAAATGCAAACGTGAAAGTGATCCCAATGCCAAATAAAGAAACATGACAATTGAACAATTTTTATTGTTTGGTTTCGGATGAGTACTTGAAGGAGCAATATGTAAGAGTTTCATGTCAAGTCTTCATTAAATGGCCCTAATCTGTCAAAAGGTATTTATACACCATGCACTTTTCCAATATTTATTTAACTGATAACAGAAGTTCAGCGGAGATTATAGAATATCAAAATTTGTTTTACAGTCCTTGTTATTGTTTTCATTCCGATGTCCCGCCCTCCACCGTTTAACCAATCAGAAAGTTTGTGATCCGGGTTGCCAGAACTGACTGCATCGAGGTAATCTCACTGGTAAAGGAACATGTGGCTGCAGAACAAAAAAAGCTCATTTTGATTCCAAAATCATTCATTACAAAAAAAGGAATAAAACTAGGATTTATATCCAGCCCTTTGTGAAAAGGTGTTTGTTATAGATTTGTTATTGACACATCTCTATTCCGGTATTATGATCCCAGCTGGATTCGTCTGCATATCTGGGAACCTGAGTCAGGGAGAGTGGGAGAGGTTGCAGTACCACCTTTGGCCAGATTGTTACATACTACTCCTTTAAAGCAACTTGAAAGGAAATATAGGTGCAGGTGAAGCTTTATCTTTAACACTTGATTTTGATCAGAAACAGGCACAACAACAAACATAATAATACAAGGTTTTACTGTAACTGTACCATTTTATACTATATCTGGCATATCAAAATCCTGTTTTGGAAAGGTACAATTATATCCTATTTATGTCATTTGTTAGAATCTGATTACATGTATTATTACAATTCACAACCTATACAAACATGTTTTTAAAGCTTGTTTAAAATGTGCACTAAATCACAAATCCAATCACAAGCGTTTTTTAAAGATATTTTGTCAACATTGTGCAGCTCGAGAGTTGAGGTCATTTCCATGTGCTTACCTCGGACAATAGTAGCCCGAGAAAGCTGCCGTTTGTCTTCTTGACCCAGTGGTGAGGAGGCATTATTGGACTGATGATGTGGACGGAAAAAAAGGACATAACCCACAGCTTGACAGGCAACATTCTTGACTTCTGCAGAACAGCATGAGATCCAACATTCGGTAATTAGTTTGTGTCACCGAGATTGACAGCCGACATCCCAGTACTGCTGTCCATGTGTCTGCTTCTCTAATCTACATTTCATGCTCAAACGTCCATCATTTTAAACTATTGCAGGGATTTAAAGCTCTGAACAATGCCAGTGCTGTCGCTGGAATGTTCCACAGTTAGAAAACTCAAAAATACTTCTTGTGGTAATTTGGCATCACCTGAGCTCCATTCTGGGGAGCTTACTCTTGGTTATATGTATATGCAGGTAATATACTGTGATGGCTACACCCCACAGGATGACATCATGAGCCTTGTCCCTCCTGATTTGAAGAGGAAAAAGGGGCGGGCTTATGTGGGTTGGTACAGCTGTGGGTAATTGGGCTGGGCAGTATATATATGTTGGGTTATGTTTTATTTGGGAGGTCAGTTTGTTTGTGTTAAGTTCTCATTAAGTCAACATTTGCTTTCTGTAAAGTTCTATTCTTTTGACCTTTTTAATGGCCTGTTTGTCTATATGGCCTATAAACCCTTTTTTGCAAGATTTGAACCTTTGTCTTGGTGCTTTACTGCTTGGTCCCTAACATATACATTTGCATTAAGAGAGTGAACTGTAAACATGAATGTAAGTATTAATGCAATCTCATTCCCCAGATTATCATTTTTTATTCTAACTACTTTAATTCTAAGTGTGTTATTACAACAACAACAAAATTGCAATTATGTCAGTACTTTATGTAATATCCTATTTTATTGCATAGCATGACTGACCTTTTCCAGCTTGTTTTACTGGCCGGCTCTGGTCAGCACAGAGCTGGACAAATAATCTCGTCATTTGGTCTGAGAGTGATTTGACCCAAGGGCAGAGCTTACTCCAGTCTTTCTCTTTTGTGGAGCATCTATGCACTTATACCACAGCCTTCATTATAAAGAGAATAAAGCCATGCTTCACCATATTTTCAAGAGCTCATCTTCTTGCAGTCTTTTCACTCAGACCTTTCAGTTTGAGTGTCTGAGTGTCTAAATGTCACATGAAAATAACACCAAATGATGTTTTCTATTTTCATAAACACACTCAAAGTTGCTTTTGGTTTGACTTACTTCAGTCAGAGACAATCAAATATTGACATATATTGATGTTGATTGATATAAATATTGATAGTTGTTTAAAAACTAGTTTCTGGCCTTGTTTAATTTAATAATTATAATGTTTGCCATATTCTGTTCATTAGACAATTACAGTCATTTTCCCCCAAAAAATATTACCGCTGCTTACTGGTAGGCGTCCTAGAAAATCTAAATCTATATCTAATGGAATACTTGACAAACAAGATAATTAATATCAATTATTAGGTAAAATTTGGAAAAATTGATAATAGATACTACCAATAGATACTTTTAAAGATTCTTCTCTTGCAATTAATGATGGATTGGGAATATTGCATTTTAAAAGAGCATTTGTATATTAGTAGAGCTGAAGTTGCCTGAATGACAATGTAAACTTGTTTGACGTAAAGAGTCCGTGGCTGAGTAGAGGCAGTAACTTCCAATGATAATAAAAAAAATATTCAAAAATCAGTGAAATCTTGTCTGATTAAAGATGTATTTATTGTTTATTTGGTCGGGACTGTATGTTAATGAACACATCACTCCGGATTTTTGCCATGGGCTAATTTGCATCCGTTGTCCCACATTCGCACTCACAAACACACACTCATTCAACCTGAACTACTGTACATGTTTTTAGTAAGTAATGTTTATTTATATAGCGCATTTCACAGACCAAGGTCACCCAAAGCGCTTTACAATGTTCAGAGTTCAGATATTGTTACAATCATTCCACACTCTGTGATGACGGAAGCGAGTTTTTAGTGGTAGGGGAAACCGGAGTCCCAGAGGGAAACCTACGCAGAGGCACGGGGAGAACATGCAAACTTCACTCAGCCACTGTGCCGCCCTGTCCGATGTCTTGTGATATTTCAAAATTGTCCTATTAAAAAAGCAAATCGATAAATCAGTTTTTCCCTAATACTGTATTGCTAACACATTTTTCATGGCTGTCTTGTCCATCTGGGCTTATAGGATGTTACCATACTTCTGCCACCTGTCCGGCTGACCCTGGATGTAAATAAGCCCAATGCCCTCTCATCATATGGTGGAAGTGGGTTGAGTAAACACAGTGATACACATTGTGCGAAAAGAGGAAGTGAGATACGTGACTAACAGACCATAATATTAACTGTCAGATCCAATATATCCCCCATAACCTTCCACCTCCACTCTACTGCCTGTGCAGAATGATGGAAGAGCCTGTTATAGTTTGTTTGTGGAGGAATGACAGAGATGGCAACACGGTTTAGGCTTGCGATTCACAATGAAATAGTTGTATTTATTGTGCAGTTACTTTAATTTATGATTTTATCTCATATATCATTCCTTTTGACTTGTTTAATTGTATTTACTTTAATTAACCTAGAATTTTGTTTCTGACAATGTCAACATAGTTTCTTGTTTCATACTGCTTTTTTGTAACAAACTTATTCAAAGCGAGTTTTTCTAACTAGAAAGTAGAATTGTATAGAAAGTAAAGAAAACTAAAAGTATCAAATCAACAACACAAATGGCAAGCTTTTATTGCAGCAGTTACTGTATCATAAAAAGCACACAAATGTTGTCCGAAAAAATACCACTTTAAAATCATCACATGATAAGGAAATTGGTGTCTCAATTGGCGTCTGATATATTGAGTCCTTTTATTAGTATCAAAATCGAGTTTGTAATTTTAGTATGTATTCCACAATAAATATATCATAGTCATTATAATCCTAATCAGAGACCAAAATATGTGCAGTAATAGGGCTGTAATGATTAATCGATTAATTGCAACTAATCAGATTTTTTTTTTTTTACAATAAATCCTCTATTTTTGTAAGAGATTAATTACTAACTGCTCTATCCAAATAATCAAACCCAATACTTTTATAATTTATATATTATAAATGAATGGTCTGCAGCAGGCTCCAGGTGGGACTCTTAGAGAAGGAGGGTGTTTGTGTTTTTATGTTCCTATAAAGCATCGGAGCATCAGGTGCACCCATCGCCCTAGGAACCGCAGACACAGAGAACCATGTCTTTGGTCGTCATGGCAGCCGGAACACAAGCTGCAGCATCCGGACATTACAGAGATTACTGTGAGCGATATGAAGACAAAAAGAATCTATAAATAATGGGATTGTTTTGGCTCTGGTCATTTGCATAAATAAAGTTGTATTAAATTGCTGTAAATATAATTGGAATATCATACAATTTGATTTGCAACTTACATTAAATACAGTGAACTATAACAACAAATATTTCTAGAATGAATTAAGCCTTTAGACATTTTATTTTAGGCTGCAGCTTAATTTCTTGCAAATGTTTTCTGGAGATAAAGCAAACACAAAGGTTACATCGATCCTAGGTCCTCTAATGTAATGTAATGTAATGTAAGTGAAGTGTTTGACGGATGGAAACGGCCTTTGTGGCTTGAATAGAGCTTCATCTGTGAGCTCAACCCCACAGTGAACCCGAACCAAGTGTTTATCTGACGCCATTTATCAAGAAGAAATGCACTAAAGTCGTGTTGGTAATAGGCTGTGGAAATAAACTGGGCCTGCCTCCTCCAAAAAAAAAAAAAAAACATTATTATAAAACCCTCAACATTTATGACAAGGGCCGAATAGTTTGCTTTTTATTTTTGCTTAGAATAATGCAGTGTATCTTTATTACGAGCTGGTTGCACAATGTATGGTTATAGTATTTTAGCGTATGTATTTTTACAGAAAATGGATGGATGGATGGATGGATATTTTTACAGAATACATATGGCTTTTCTTTTTGTTGTTTTCTGTTGCTGTCTGTTTGTTTCAGTTTGTTGGTTTTGCTGCTGTCAAGCTTTTAAATAAGTAGTTGACTACATGTAACCTATTTCAACTATACAATATAACATAGTACTAAATGTTGTGTACAAACTGTTTCAACATATAGTGGTCTATGACGTTCCAATTTTAGGTTCCACTAAGCTTTGTCTCACTATCAGCTAACTCAACTCTGAATGTGGTCACTTTTATAGTCTACACCTTAAATAGTAAAGCAATTTGGATGACCCTTGTCTGTGAAAAGTGCCAGATAAATATTATATTTTACATGATTAATCATGTATTGCCTAGTAACCCGCCAGTTCTCATGTGAAATAATTGCATGTCACATCAACTAACATATCTTGTATTGTTCTTTTTTTCCTCCACAGTCAACTTTGACCACTTTCAGATACTTCGGGCCATTGGGAAAGGAAGCTTTGGAAAAGTAAGTACATGCATTTTTTATTCGGTTTGTTCTTGTTTCAATGTGCAAATGCTTTTTAATTTCAGAGAAAAACACAGGAATCAAAACCAAAAGTATGACATAAAACATAAACATAAAAAACAAAAACTAGCAAAGAAAATCTGATTTGAAATTTTAAATAAAAAACAAATCTCCCTATCCTTTTTTAGAAGAAAATGAACTCGTATCATGTCTATAAATATAATATCTCATTTATTGAAGAATGTGTTCACAGTAGTGAGCGATCTTATTGACAAGCCTATGAGATGTCTATGAAGAGATCAGTAGTGTGACTTTTTAGCCTTTTGTTAGACAGATTGTACGTTACATTCACAGAACGCCAGTAATCCCTTTTCATTTCCGGCAGGCACTAAACATATGGCCCTGTTTCAAACTATGCTGATGTAATTTACTCTGGCAGCTTGTTCTCTTCATGTTTAATTTACATTTCAAAATCCCATATGTAACATTAGCATTTTTATTTCTGCTTGTCACTTAGTCGGCAGGAATTTACATAGAACCACAGTCTCATTAGCATTGGAATCCAAGGCAACAACAAATCAGCTCATCTTTAAGTCTAGACACAGACTAAACCAGGCCTCAACAAGATCTACTTAACCAGGTCGATGGCGACTTCGGTTGTAGATGAAGGGAGAAGGGACTGTGATACTTTTTTTTTTTTTTACCACCATTGCCTATTCTAAATGACCAACAGAATACAGTAGAATATCTTCCAGAAAAAAAAGACTTATAGGGACTCCAAGACACTTAAAAAAATAATAGTAATACAAAATGAATATGAATGGACATTCCAGCCTAATTTTAGATGACAACTAAAATCCAATGGAACAAGCAAAAAATATTATTATTCCGGCCTTCTTTTCAAACATCTGTGTCTGTGTTTGCTGTTTTGAAGTAAATAATTCAATCAATCCAATGCAAATGCTCAGTGAAACTGTATTCATGAGAATATGAGATAACTCATTTGAGAATAATATGTTTGTTAAAGCTGGAGTACATAACTTTGTAATCACAAAACTATGCAATATAATCCATGTAAATAGTTTTTTTTTCTCAGATAAGATTATCCAGTGAAAAAGAGAGTGCCAGCCGGATGTGGTGTGGGAAAAAAAAGTTTTTAGTGAATAAATACTGTACATCTCTCAGTATGTAAAATATAAATACAGTACTTTCTAATCAGCATGCTCCTGTCTTATTTATTCACAAAATAAACAATGTGGTATTGTTGGTATTCATGAAACAAAATATCAAGGTCTAAAGATAGGTCTAACATTTAAACGGGTAGCTTTTTGACAGAATAAAGTTATTCTTCAGGTCTTATTTCAGCCAAACCTTTCTCCAGTGCATTCGTCACATGTTTCCTCTGCCTCACGTCGACCAAACTCCTCTTAAGCAGCCAAATCACTGCACCACATGTTGTCGTACAGGAGAGGGCTCTGATTAACCTCAGCAGCTGTGCACGGAGCCATAGGGACGGATCGCTGTAATCACGGCACATTCACACGTGGAGCAAAACTATCAACAACTAAAGCAGCGTTAGCGACAGGACAGACTGGATATCGGATGTATCTGTTCATTCTGACTGCGCAAACATGCTGCTAATCAGATGGTCCAATCAAGAGATGCTAAAATATGCAAAGTGAAAGTAACTCCAGGTGTTTGGTGCTCGGTTTTGCAAGTTGAATGACCATTTATGAAAGTGGCTTCTGCTGAAAGAAAATAGAAAGAAGGAGTGGACAATATCGACAATAATATAGAACGGTTTTTTATGCGGCCTTAAGAATATTAATGTTTTAATTTAAGACCCTAGAAATAAATATGCTGACGGAAGTTGATTATGTATTTCTGTCAGCTTCTTTCAGTGCAGCTGCTGCACATGAGGGGGTAAATTCCCGTTTACATGCATATTTGTTAATTTACTGGAAAAGCTTCTGAATAGATGCTATTTATTTATTATAGTCAATAAAAATATTAAATTTATGGTGATAAATTATTTTTTTAGATATGGTAGAAAATACTGTATGTTGCATACAAGACATTTGCTCACTCACTGCAAATAAACTTACTGTTTCTCCGATGTTGCTTTACTGTTAAGCAAACCTAGGAACCTTTCACAACATTGATAGACGATATTGCGATAAAGCATAATTCAGATTCAGATTCATTTTATTTGCCATTTGCAGTAAAAAAAACCACATTGGAATACATTAGCAAAAAGTCTCCAGTGTGCACAGACAGATACAGACATAAAACAACATTAAAAGACAAAAATAAAACAAATAAAACAGTAAACAAATGTCACTGTGAAATCGATCGACTAAAACAGTTTCAAAACAAGTGCGTAACGAGATGTCCTGCATCTCAGAGAGCAATATCTTCTGCCAGAGGGAAGAAGCTGGAACATGGCTTTCCCAGGGTGGCCAGAAGAGTCATTGACAATCCTAAGAGCTTTGTTTAAAAGTCTGGATTTATAAAGAACCTCCAGAACAGGAAGCTCACAGCCCACGGTCCTCTTTGCAGAGCGGAGCACCTTGTTTAAAGCTCTCTTTTCTTTATCTGTGATGTTTCCAAACCACACAGACACAGAACCAACAAGTAAACTCTCAATGGTGCAGCGATATTGAATATCAACAAGCAGGAGAAAAAACTAATTTTTTCCTTCTTCTTTATCTGTTGCTGGGTCATGGGGGCAGCAGTCTGAGCAGATTCCCCCATAATTCCTCCAGCTCATCCAGGGGAATCTGGAAGCGTTTCCAGACCAGTTGAGAGCCATAGTACCTCCAACTTATCTTCTCCAGGGAATCCTCCCGAGTGAGACAAGTGGGAACACCTGTTGAAGGAAATCTCCTGCAGGCAATCTATAACAGATGCCCAAGCTACTTCAGCAGAGCAGCAGCTCTACTCTGAGCTCCTCCTCTGTTGCTCTTACGCTATTGATGAGTTTATTCATTCAAAGGATAATGTGCAGTTACATTCAAAGAGGGATAAATCATGGTAATTTGAAACTGTAGTGTCCTTAAAGGTACTCTGTGTAATTTTACAGTTGCTCCAAATGAAAAAAATTTTTTTTAACCAATAACAAATGTGACCTTTGGAGATTTTTTCACCTCCACCATGTTTTTGAATTGTTGCCATAGTCTTTGAATTTGACTTATAAATGTACATGCGAGCTTTAGGATTCTCCATGTCAATGTGCCATCTTTAAATACATTGGTTGATGAACAAATTACATAAAGGATGCAAGAATTGCGTTTTTGTTTCACAGGTGCTACTGATATTGTCACAGACAGTAACTTTCTTGACACCGACAGGAAAGAGAACAAGGCAGAATCTACAACATGGGCCTTTGGATGTTTTGACCTGCACCCGTCCAACTATTATGTCCACAAGTTTCAACTAAACTTATTCAAGGCACAAGCCTAAAAAAAACACACAAAATCCCTGCAAAACAATTGCCAGAATACATTTATCACCTGTGTGAGTTTGAATGGCTTCTCTGATCATAGTTGGTTTAAGTTCCCACAGACATCCCAATCCTCCGTCTCTTCTCTTCACACCGCGTTTGCAAAATATTAGAACCTCTGTCCAGTGCGCGGGTGCCTGCTTCAGAACGTGGACTGTTCACATTTCAGTTTTTTTACTTTTTAGCGTTACAATGTCAAGTTGCCAAGACGTATGGAGAGATCTGGTGATTTATCAAACTAAAGGATTCTCTCCTTGGCCCCGGTTCGAATGACCGGGAGTTGAGCACCATTGTCAAAGACGACATATTATCCTTCCAAGCTACGTTAGTACCAAAGGACTGAAATATATGATTTCAAAGCTAGATGGGAGTAAAAACCACATAGTGTCCTTTAACAAGAACATACAAATAGAATGAAGTCAAAGTCAACTAAAAATGTGTTTTTTGTCATTATCACAGAAAACAACAAAACCAATCAGTGCAAATGTTCAAAATCAAGTTCAGCACACAAAACATTGTTTACACTATCTAGTCAAAGCCATTCCCAGAACCTTATTCCATATGAAGGAATATTACTAAATGTATCAATTGTTTCAAAGTGGACTAGATCATCAGGTTTTGACAGCTACATGTAATTCTAAGACATTGTGTGTTTTCCAGGTGTGCATTGTTCAGAAAAAAGACACAAAGAAGATGTATGCCATGAAGTACATGAACAAGCTGAAGTGTGTGGAGAGGAACGAAGTGAGGAACGTCCTGAAGGAGCTGCAGATCATGCAGAACTTAGAGCACCCTTTCCTCGTCAACTTCTGGTAAGTCATTGTTTTGGCTGCATTTGATCATTATCTTCATATGAAAATTTAGATTGATTAAACAAGTTACAGCATACAGCATTACAGCTTTTAAATGAAAAATGCAGATTCATTTTTTTCTTTATAAAATCAACGATCAATGTTAAAATAAAACTTTGGATTTTGTATTGCCATCTGGAACCCTTGCGGTTGTAAACCATTGATACAAATCGCACAAGACACTTACACTTTACACTAGTATTTGCACTAAAAAGTTAAAAGTACTGTAAAGTGGCAATTTTCTCAGACATGTAGACTCATTTGACTCATCTCAGAATCAAGATGAACACAATTAACACCTCCTTGGCATTTATCCCAACCTGATAAAAGCATAGTTGTTTAATTACGCCATCAAACCGTTTATTAGGGCTGTTTACCTGACCCACAAGCTGCTTTTCTCTTTGACACACTGTTATGTGTGAGTCACACATTTGAGTCATATTAGATGTTTGTGAGGCTGTAATGACTTTAGCTAGAAGCCCTATAAAGCAATTCAATTACTTTTATTATACTATCAAATCATTGGATGTGTACAGGTGTATTGAGTGAGCCCCATGTCGGTCCATTCAAAATACATTTTACCAGGTCTAGAAGTAGTTTTATGTGCGTCAGCTGTTGTCCTCTCAGCTGCCTGTAGAGGTGGTAAAAGGAAAGTGCTGTTTTGTTCAATGATCCGAGCCTAACTCCCCAGAGCCATGAAAGACACTGTATTTTTTACTTCAAGGTGAAATAACTCTCACGTTTTTAGAGTGAAAGAACTCCCAAGAATATGAATCTATAAGCTGGTCCCAGGCCTGAATTTCAGAGGGAGAATGTAAACAAAGTATCAAATAGGCCTTTTTTTTTTCAAGAAAACCAAGTGTTCAATGCATTTTGTTTTTACTTTATTGTGTTAGTAGCCCATGTTTGAAGGTGTTTGATTGGTAAACTGTTCTTGTGTTTGCTTGGCATCAGATTTCCTAGATCTCCTATCAGAAAAGGTTCACTGCACAGGTGAAACTGGGAAAATTGCAATGTTGTTCAAATGTTAATTTACTTCTGTAATTCAACTTACAATGTGAAAGTATATGACAGACTCATTACATCCAAGTTGAGATAAAACATTTAGATGTTACATTATTTGCTATAACCCCAAATAAAACATCTCAGTAAAATTGGAATATTTTGAAAATGGACCATAACCCATAATCAAACAAAATTATATAAAAACAACATGCTTGGCATATGTCACTTTGCATATATCATGGTTTCCCATTTTAATTCCAGAAATAAATGAACTTTTGAACTATATTTTAATTTCCCGAGTTTCACCTGTAGATTGCTTTGTTCTTTTATTGCAATGAAGGAAGAATTATTCAAATTGATTTAAAAAATCCAATGAAATCCCAAAGCTGTAATGTTGCTATTAGGGTCGGGACTTTAACGGGTTAATTAAGATTAAATAATTACACAAAAATTAGCGCGTTAAAAAAATCGCTTTTTTTTTTTTCACCGCGGAACGGTTCTCACTGGAGGACTTTCTGTGTGTAGCCATGTTTCTGTAAATACTTGAAGGCTGGCGTCACGGTACTCCCGCTGGTAGCCATGGCTGGTAGCGCGTCAGTGCCGCTAGCTCGTCAGTCGGAGAGGGACATTAGTGGTGATCACGGCAGGCACCGCGGGTCTAGATCTCTTTTGCCCTCGTACCGTCCATCCCGCGCGGCAGCCTCTGGGTGTTCTTTGTAGAATCTCCGCAGGAATAGTGTAGTAGTAATAGTAATCTTTAGTAATCTTTATTTATATACCGCCTTTTCACTTCAGATCTGAGTCTCAAAGCGGTTTACAATTGTTAATTATGGGCATTTGTCTCTCGCTCCACACAGAGATGGGAGCGGGCTCCAGTACAGGAGGCGCATGCCAGACATGTCTATTGGACATATTTTTAGTGGTAGGGGAAACCGGAGTACCCGGAGGAAACCTACGCAGACACGGGGAGAACATGCAAACTCCACTCAGAAAGGCCCTGGTCCGACCGGGATTCGAAACCAGGACCTTCTTGCTGAGAGGCGAGAGTGCTATCCACTCAGCCACCGTGCCGTGTGTTTGTCCCTGGGAGAGACCTCCGCTCTCCGCAGCGCCAGCAGCTGGTCCCGGGTGTAAACAATGGGAGCGCGTGGGTCACAGGTATAATCCAAACTTTATGATGAGGAAAACAGTGGAAAAACACGACGTGTCTCACTTCCTAAGTGGGAAATAGCTTCACCCAGCTGTATTATAACAGCAGTTACAGAAAAAAATAATGATGCAACTTGCAGCTGGCTCCTGCCCGCGCATGCGTAATATGTATTACTTCTCACTGTTCTGAGGTCAAATATTTATACGCGATTAAAATGAAATTAATCGCGATTAGTTAATTACAACGCCTCTAATTAATTGGATTAATTTTTTTAATCGAATCCCAGCCCAAGTTATATATATACAATCGTATATGTTTATGTTTGGTTGTGTGTGATAACAGCACATTCCTAATTTCTGAACATAGCAAAGAACCATGCTCGATGTTTCAACCATAGACTGTATATAATAACGGACAGAGTCACGCCTATCTCCGCCGTTCATAGGAGTTGGCCATGAAAAGTGCTTTCATGAGGCAATCCAAGATGGCCGCGAGTGGTCCCGCCCACAAGAAAAATGTGAAAAAACGCATCTGCGCATGAGTCAGCCGGCGCAGCTCCATTCATTTGAACGAGAGACTTCAAAAATTCACAGCAAGTAAACTAGAGTGGACCAAAAAAAATCACCCGCCTCAGCATTGACACACATGTGGAACGGAGCTTTGGGCCAAGAGCCAACTTTTGGTCCATCCTGTAAAGACGTTTTTGAGAGGTCTGCCAACGCTATATGTTAGCATTGGCTAATTCTTCTTCTGGGTCCACCCCCATCGGCCCGGAGTGGTATTGCAAGCATGTCAGCGCACGTCATTTTGGCCACTTTTGAGCCGGGACCCGCCCCCACTGGTTTCAACGCACTTGGAGTAAGCATTTCTTTGTCTTATTATTAGAAATGATTGTTTTTACAGTGTACAGCAATCCCTGGCAGGTGACCACTCATCCTAATCTCACTGAGGAAGTCCTGTCCTGTATAGAAAGGCTCATTTGAAACTGCAACTCAGAAAGTGGTAATCCAGTCTGAGTCATCAGGTAGTTCATTCATCTCCATTTGAAAGAGCAGAGTTTATGGACTCGTACTTTAAAATGCTCAGAGTATGAGTTGTCAGGTTGCGACGGAAAGGCATCATTAATTCTTCATAAGCACTCCCGCTGCTGGCGACGTTTGAAATAAAGCCCTGTGGTTTGAAGTGCTGAGGAGGAAGATGGACGAGGAGGGGAGATGCTGTGTGAGTCCATCTGAATAGAAAAGCATCCCCTGGAGTTTGGTTATTAATGAGAGATTGCATTTATTCTACTGGTTTAGATTTTTTGAAATTTCTGAAACAATGGGATGATTCATGATTTCATAATTTAACTATTTTATGCCGTTCCAAATCCATTGTTAATTTTTTTCCCAATATCAAAACCAAAAGATCTCAACTATCGCTGCTTCCTACATTTGGGATACCTAACTTTTATAATGACAGGAATGAAACTATGTAATAAAATCCTTGCTCTGAGAACAGTTTGGTTCTCTCACTCGATTCCACATTCATGTCTTGTTTGGCCTCTGTCACAGCTTTAGATTAGCTTTTTGAAGGCGACATGTTATGATACGATTATGATATTTTTCATAATAGTTTACTTTAACAGTATTTTTTTTTCTTTCGTGACAAACACAATGTATTATTTATGAGAATACAGTTAGGTTCCCCAGCTTTAAAGGTACACTGCGTAGTTTTTCCTTCCATCTAGCGTTGAGATCATACATTGTAATCAACGGTACTATAGCCTCGGAGTAGGGCTGGCTGATAAATCGATTTTAATTATTAAGTCGAATTTAACGTTAACCCAGAACGATTTCTTTTTAATGAAAATTCCTCCAGCGCAGAGCTACAGTGCAACACGCTAACCACAGGTGTTGAGCAGTCATTTTGAAAGCTAACCTGATGCTAACAGTCTCCCTCTGTTCTGACGTTCGCTCTCACAGTTGGTGCTGTTGCAATAACACTTCAAACGTTCAAGAGTTAAGGGCTCGACACACGGGAGGCGACAAATGAGAGCGATCAGCGAAACTCAACGCTGTCGCTCAGATAACATGACAGACGGGGCGCGATGCGGCTTGACGACAGCGTCGAAAAGTTGAGCCGATTTCAACTTTCTGGGATCGCGTCGCTGACCTGAGCGTGCACGATACATGCACGAGCGGGAGGATTTCACACGCACGTTTTTCTCCCGTCGCTGAGCAGGAGGCTCGCTAGCGATTGACGCTATGTTGCGCACGTCCCATTGAAAATGAATGGAGGCGATGCGATGTCGCCTCTTGTGTGTTGAGCCCTTAAGTCTTTATTTAATCGCCAGAACACACACACACACGCACACACACACGAGCGCACGCACACACGCAGGCAGGCTCCGGTTGTCTTTCATTGTCATTCATTCATATCTCAGCGCTCACGCTCCTTACTCCAAAGTGCGCTCCCGTGTCCACGGCGTGCACACACACACACACACACACACACACACATACACGTGTCCCATTGCTCTCATTGCTCTGATACAAACAACGTGTACCCCGCTCTATCTGTTAGCTACAGTAGCTGTTAGCTACAGTAGCAGAATGTAAACAGGAAACTTAACTCGTACAAAGCGGTGGTCACTGAAGTTAGTATTAGCGCCACCAGCTGGACAGAGCGTTGTACTACAGCACAGTTACTCTGACACGGTTGAAAGAACAAGCATAAAAACCCAAGGAGGAGGCTTTTGTAAAAGACTTTCTCTGTTATAACATTTGTATTTGGAGTAATCATTAGTTTAAAAAACATGATATTT